GCACCCAGTTTGCTGATGACCACTGGGGCCACCTGGACTGTTTTATGCCAGACCCTTTGCAGTTTGATTTTGAGGTCCTGATAAAGGCTGGGTTTTTCCTGTTGTTTTTCCTCAATGCGACTGTCACCCAGTTGTTGTTGTTGTTGTTAGAAACACAACAAGATGAGTCCACAGCAAACAAGATCACTCTGCTGGCTGTTATATTGGATCACATGTCCGACATTTCCCAAGTGTCTAGGACTGTATGATGTATCAGTGAATAATGTCTGCAGATCCCAGTAGGGTGGCCTTTTGCAGCTGAGAGATGGTAATTTTTTTCAGCGCCGATTGTGTTTAAGTGCAGGCCAAGGTCTTTAGGCACTGGGACCACCTTGACTGGCTTGTGCCAGAGTCTTTGCAGTTCAATCTTTAAATCCTCATATTGTGTCAGCTTTTCCAGTTGTTTCTCTTCAATCCTGCTGTCACCTGGGATTGCAACATCGACAATCCATACTTGGTTTTTTAACACGATTGTGAGGTCAGTATTGTGCTCCAAAACTCTGTCTGTCTGAATCCAGAAGTCCCAGAGGAGTTTGACATGTTCATTCTCTGTAACTTTTTCCGGCTTGTGATCCCACCAGTTCTTTGTCGCAGGCAGATGTATAATAATAATAATAATAATAATAATAATAATAATAATAATAATAGACAGACTACAAGCAGAGGCATAACACCATTGCTCAGATGATGCATTGGAACCTGTGTCACAAAAACCATCTTAGAATCTATGATTCTATTATTCTAAGATGGTTTTTGTGGCACAGGTTCCAATGCATCATCTGAGTAACGGTGTTATGCCTCTGCTTGTAGTCTGTCTATTATTATTATTATTATTATTATTATTATTATTATTATTATTATTGGAGACTCTGGTGGTGCAGTGGGTTAGACCAGTGAGATGCTGAGCTTGTTGACCAAAAGGTCACATGTTCGAATCCGGAGAGCGGCGTGAGCTTTCACTGTCACCCCAGCTTCTGCCAACCTAGCAGTTCGAAAACATGCAAATGTGAGTAGATCAATAGGTACCGCTCCGCTCCGGTGGGAAGCTAAGGGTGCTCAATGCAGTGCTGGCCAAATGACCTTGGAGGTGTTTATGGACAACGCCAGCTCTTCAGCTTAGAAGTGGAGATGAGCACCAACCCCCAGAGTCGGACACAACTGGACTTAATGTCAGGGAAAAACCTTTACCTTTACCTTAAGCTATCTGAATTATATACAAACAAATTACTAGTGGAGGGTTGAAGAAGGTTGCTATTTCCAACAGTTTTAGGGCCATAAAGATGGCTAGAGGGGATTAATGGCGCAATGGATGTTTCCGTCATTGGATGTCGATCCAACAAGTTTGGTGTCCAGCTCTATTGCAGGTTTACAGTACATCAAAGTGGCAGGATGCGCTATTCTTTCTTTTCCTCCCCCGTCTTTCATTTCCAACACTGAGCTCTTTCATCTTCTCTGGATCAAAGAAAAAGTGTGCGAGCCTGATGTTCATAAATAGCAGTGCTGTGAGAGGGGCATCTTTGCCAAGCGAACACCAAAGCTCCAATTGTCTGGGCACATTAGTGAAGGACTGCGGCCAGGGAGAGAAATGCCTTTCAAATTGAGGCTGGACTTCATGTTTAGGAGTAAATCATCTTCAGATAAAGGGAATCACTCTCTACCAATATTGCTTTGTCAAAGCCCACTGGCCTGAGCTGGCAGTGGCAAGTAACCAGATACAAACTAGTTATTTACAGTGAAGTTCTTTCCCCCAGAAATGGATATGAAGTGTACTTACTTACTTTACTTAGGCGATCCCTCTTTGGCCGAGTAGGATAGTCTTCCAGGATCAGTGTTCTGGTGGATCCGTAGGTGACTGTGGAGTCCTATTCTTGATCTGCATCTTCTTCCGCAGTGAGGGCATTGGTTTCCAGGTTGGAAGGCGGTCTCGGTCAGGGTTGGCTTGACGCGCCTTCCTCTTGGCACATTTCTCTCTTTCACCCTCCATTTGTGCCTCTTCAAATTCTGCAGCACTGCTGGTCACAGCTGACCTCCAGCTAGAGTGCTCAAGGGCCAGGGCTTCCCAGTTCTCAGTGTCTATGCCAGAGTTTTTAAGGTTGGCTTTGAGCCCATCTTTCAATCTCTTTTCTTGTCCACCAACATTCCATTTTCTGTTCTTGAGTTCGGAGTAGAGCAACTGCTTTGGGAGACGGTGGTCGGGCATCTGGACAACGTGGCCAGTCCAGTGGAGTTGATCGTGGAGGACCATCGCTTCAATGCTGGTGGTCTTTGCTTCTTCCAGCACGCTGACGTTTGTCCACCTGTCTTCCCAAGAGATTTGCAGGATTTTCCGGAGGCAGTGCTGATGGAATCGTTCCAGGAGTTGCATGTGACGTCTGTAGACAGTCCACATTTGCAGGCATATAGCAGGGTTGGGAGGACAATAGCTTTATAAACAAGCACCTTGGTCTCCCTACGGATGTCCCAGTCCTCAAACAATCTCTACTTCATTCGGAAAATGCTGCACTCGCAGAGCTCAGGCAGTGTTGTATTTCGGTGTCAACATTGACTTTGGTAGAGAGGTGGCTGCCAAGGTAGCGGAAATGGTCCACATTTTCTAATGTTACACCATTAAGCTGTACCTCTGGCATAGAAAGGGGTTGGCTGGTGAGTGCTGGAAGAGCACTTTGGTTTTCTCGATGTTCAATGACAGGCCGAGCTTCTTGTATGCTTCTGCAAAGGTGTTTAGAGTGGCTTGTAGATCTTCTTCTGAATGCACACAGACAACATTATCATCAGCATACTGGAGTTCTATAACAAATGTTGTTGTAACCTTGGTTTTGGCTTTAGGTCTGCCGAGGTTAAACAGCTTGCCGTCTGTCCGATAGATGATTTCCACTCCGGTGGGAAGCTTCCCATCAACAAGGTGAAGTATCATAGCGATGAAGATGGAGAATAAAGTTGGGGCAATAACACATCCCTGTTTGACGCCTGATTCCACCTTAAATGGGTCACTTTGGGATATGTATGAAGTGTGGATATGTATGAAAGGGAGCATATGTTTGGTTCTTTTGCTTTCATCCTAGCTCCAGTTTAAATTAAACTTTCTGTCATACACATGTTTGTATATTTATTTACGGTATTTATATTCCACCCTTCTCACCCCGAAGGGGACTCAGAGCGGATTACAGAACCTGCCTCTATGGCAAGCATCCTCATTATTATTTAGTACTATACTGAAACTCTGCTTCACTGATTCTGTATATCCTTGAAAGTTTGCCTTGACTTACTCAAAGATATTATTAAAATGTCATGAACACTTGCAAATCTTATAATGCAATCCCTGGAAGTATTAATCCCCTCAAAGGTTTTGTTTTTCCATCTGGAAATGACTCCTGGACGGGAAAAAGGACCAGATGTTGAATGCTTATTCATAAGTGTACTGGTGTTGTCATACTTCCCTGAATTTTTGGTCCATGGGTTCCTGCCCAGCTCTCTAAAGTTTGTATATCATCTTCTGGCACATTTGTCTTTAAAATGAAACAGAAAAGGCTTAATGCCCAAAGAAGCAGAGTGTTGGCTATAATGTGGATCAAGTCAGCTTTTGTAAAACTAATGCTGGTATTTAGCGGCACAAAACAGCAAAGGATTATACTAATTCTCTTTGGCTGCTGGTTTTGCACAACCCTGTTCATCTGTTAAGATTTCCTTGAGTTGTTCATCTGCCAGCAGTAAAAGAAAACATAACGCAACGTCCTGTTAGGTAACAATCACCGAAGTCAAAGGACAAAGGTGATAGAGATCTATCATGCACAAGTATTTTTCCAGTGTCATTCTTGCCAGCATGTCTTGAGGATCCATCTGAAAGAAAGGCAATGTTTAAAAGACCACTTTGGAGAGGTGCATAAGAATGGGAATGGATTGGAACTTTAAAAAAGAGGGCATAACATACTGTGAGAGCAACACTGGAGCAACTGTTTTGGTTTCTGTCTTTATCTGTCATATCTTCATCCATCTTAAGCCCGTTTGCTTATGAGAATAACGTGAGAGGGCGTGCCAAAGCAGGCTTGCTTCAGGTTTTAGTCAAGGCTGTGAAGGAGCTTTCCAAGGTGCTGAACCTATCTTGGGAAATGGGTCTCAGAACCTTGGATAGCTCATTGTTGTTCATTCGTTCAGTTGTTTCCAACTCTTCGTGACCTCATGGACCAGCCCACACCAGAGCTCCCTGTCGGCCATCACCACCCCCAGCTCCTTCAAGGTCAATCCAGTCACTTCAAGGATGCCATCCATCCATCTTGCCCTTGGTCGGCCCCTCTTCCTTTTTCCTTCCATTTTCCCCAGTTAATGCCCTTCTAGAATCATAGAATCAAAGAGTTGGAAGAGACCTGTTGGCTACCGTTACACAGAGAACATGAATTTCTTGGTAGGAGGGTCTCACTGGTTACTACTCAATTGCAGAGCATAATTCTTGTTATGATAGTTAAAGTCCTGCAGGACTTCTCTGCATGCTATTTAAGGGCTGCATTCTCTAATATAAGCTTGTCAGGGCTTTCAGGGGAAGATGCCATCAGGAGTATATTGCATGGGGATATAAAGAAAGGCCTTCTTGCCAGGATTTGGAATTCTCTTCCAAGGAAAACTAGCGACCATTCCACCAGCAAGGCAGAAACATTTTTAAGAAAGGGCGTGCCAAAGCAGGTTTGCTTCGGGTTTTAGTCAAGGCTGCGAAGGAGTGAGAGAATTGGCCATCTGCAAGGACGTTGCCCAGGGGACGCCAGGATGTTACCATCCTTGTGGGAGGCTTCTCTCATGTCCTCGCATGAGGAGCTGGAGCTGATAGAGGGAGCTCATCCACATTCTCCCCGGATTCGAACCTGCGACCTGTCGGTCTTAAGTCCTGCCGGCACATGGGTTTAACCCACTGCGCCACCGGGAATGAATGAAATGTAACAGAGAGAAAAGTGACAAGTTCTCTTTTTTCACAGGGATTTGGAAGATTGCGCTTTGAATGGTTGACAGGTAAACTCCAAGAGCTGAGCAGGAGTCATGTCGGTACCATTCAGAAAAGAACTGGAGAAATACAAGAACATCAACGAAGATGAAATTCTCAACAAACTTTCAGAGGATGAACTGAAACAGCTGGAGAGTGTTCTCGATGACTTGGATCCAGAGGTTTGTACTTACTTGTTTATCATGACAGAAGTAAATTGAGGGTACAGTTATAATATAATTTTTAGAAAACACAAACAAAGTTTATTGTCGAAGGCTTTTGTGGCTGGAATCACTGGGTTGTTGTAGGTTTTTCAGGCTCTATGTCTATGTTCTAGAAACATTCTCTCCCGATGTTTCACCTGCATCTGTGGCAGGCATCCTCAGAGGTTGTGAGGTCTGTTGGAAACTGGAAAATGGGGTTTCTATATCTGTGGAAGGTCCAGGGTGGGAGAAAGAACTCTTGTCTGTTGGAGCTAGGTGCGAATGTTTCAATTGGCCACCTTGATTAGCATTTGATGGCCTGACTGTTTTTAGGTGTGGTTTGTTCCTGCCTGGTTTACTCACAACCTTCATGTGTTCAGTATACACAGGTGCACAACTTATTAGTTCAGTTTAAGATATGTTTGAGATAATTCTCTGTGCCATCCAGCCAGGACATCTCTTACAACAAAACAGCAAGTAAGTGTGTGATCTGAGGTCTGCTGTAGTCTACAGTCTTCATGTAGTCCAGTGGTTCACAACCTTTGGTCCGCCAGGTGTTTTGGACTTCAACTCCCAGAAATCCCAACCATATTACCAGCTGTTAGGAATTATGGGAGCTGAAGATCAAAACACCTGGAGGACTAAAGGTTGGGAACCACTGATGTAGTCTGTCTGCAGTAGTCTGATGTGATCGTGTGGTCTGCAGGCCCTCCTACAACTTCTCAGAAACTATAGAGAAAGGAAGCTGCATACATACAGGAGTCAGTAAGCAACAGAATAATAGATAAACAGATTGCTAGAGAAGGCTGGAAGAAGGTTGTCATTTCCGACAAATCTATATAAATAAAAATGTCATGTTCGTTTGTGGGATTAACAGAACTCAAAAACCACTGGACGAATTGACACCAAAATTGGCCAACGAGTGTCCATCACTCATAAAAACACTGAAAAACACAGCAGAAGAGAATTAAAAAGCAAAAAAATTATATAACAACGCAAGCACAAAACCACATATATATACACAAACACTCACATACGCAAAAATATACACACACATATACATACACAAAACACATGTACACAGACAGGGCACAGCAACGCATTGCAGGGGATGGCTAGTATTACAATATAATGATATAGTACAATATAGTAATATTTAATACGGATATTTTACTATGCTAATAACATAATATATTGTATAAATATATATCTTGTAAGCAGCTCTGATTCCCCTACGGGGTGAGAAGGGCGGCATATAAATGTCATAAATAAATACAAAAAAAAACATTACAACACATGCACAAAACCACATATGTACAAACACACATATATACACATGTACACAAATATATACAGAAATATATACATACTGCCCCCAGTGGCGCAGTGGGTTATAGCATTGAACTGCTAAGCTTGTTGACCGAAAGGTCGCAGGTTCAATTCCAGGGAGTGGCGTGAGCTTTCGCTGTCAGCCCTAGCTTCTGCCAACCTAGCAGTTCGAAAACATGCAAATGTGAGTAGATCAATAGGTACCACTCCGGCAGGAAAGTAAGGGTGCTCCATGCAGTCATGCCAGCCACATGACCTTGGAGGTGTCTATGGACAACGCCGGCTCCTGGGCTTAGAAATGGAGATGGGCACCAACCCCCAGAGTCAGACACGACTGGACTTAATGTCAGGGGGCAACCTTTGCCTTATACACACATATATGCACACACAAAACACATACACAGAAAGGGGGAAGGAAGGAGAAAAGGAGGGAGAGAAAGAGGGAAAGAGGGAAGAGAGAGGAAAGAAGGTAGAGAAGGTAGGAAGGAGGAAGGAAAAAAAGAAAGAGGGAAGGAGAGAAGGACGAAAGAGAGAAGAGGAGGAAGGAAGGAAAAGAAGGAAGGAAGGAAGCAAAGGAAAGGAAGAAAAAAAAAGAAAGAGAAGAAGGAAAGAAAGAAGGAAGGAAGGAGAGAAAGAAGGAGAGAAAGAAAGAGGGAGAAAAAGAGGGAGGGAAGGTTGGCCACAGCAACGCGTGGCGGGTACAGCTAGTATCACATAAGAATATCCCATCACTAAAGAGAGTAATTTCCACCTCTCTTGTCCTCTCTTTGGCAGAATGCGCTTCTTCCAGCAGGTTTCCGACAGAAGGATCAGACCAGTAAAACCACCACAGGACCATTTGACCGGGAACGGCTGCTGTCCTACTTGGAGAAGCAAGCCTTGGAGCACAAAGACAGGGAGGACTGTGTGCCCTTCACAGGGGAAAAGAAAGGTATGTGTTCATTATGCATATTGGGGTATTAGGACAAATGGACATCTCGATTTGCACTGTGGGATCGCTGACTGCAATCACCCTGAGAAGGATCCATCTCAAGTTCAGGGACATTGATTATCACAAATACGTTAAGCCCATCCAGGACAATTGCTGCCATCCTTTTGGGACCAGCATCTGTATTTTCTCCTTGTTTCTTGGATTCTACTGTGAGGTTTATCAAGAGTGACCACAAATCTTAATGACGGTTCAGTTGAAACAGTGTTTCTCAACCTTCCTAATGCTGCAACCCCTTAATACAGTTCCTCATGTTGTGGTGACCCCCAACCATAACATTATTTTAATTACTACTTCATAACTGTAATTTTGCTACTGTTATGAATTGTAATGTAAATATCTGATATGCAGGATGTATTTTCAATCACTGGATCAAATTTGGCACAAATACCTGACATGCCCAAATCTGAATATTGGTGGGGTTAGAGGGGGTGATTTGGTCATTTGGGAGTTGTAGTTGCTGGGATTTATATTTCACTATAATCAAATAGCATTCCGAACTCCACCAATGATGGAATTGAACCATTCTTGGCTCACAGAACTCCCATGACCAAGAGAAAATACTGGAAGGGTTAGGTGGGCATTGACCTTGAGTTTTGGAGTTGTAGTTCACCTACATCCAGAGAGCACATTGGACTCAAACAATGATGGATCTGGACCAAACTTAGCATGAAAAATCAATACTTGAGGCTGTACATGTGAAAAAGATCTTGGCGTCCTCGTGGACAACAAGTTAAACAATGTGATGTGGCGGCAAAAAAAAGCCAATGGGATTTTGGCCTGCATCAATAGGAGCATAGTGTCTAGATCTAGGGAAGTAATGCTCCCCATGCTCTATTCTGCTTTGGTTAGACCACACCTGGAATATTGTGTCGAGTTCTGGGCACCACAATTCAAGAGAGATATTGACAAGCTGGAATGTGTCCAGAGGAGGGCGACTAAAATGATCAAGGGTCTGGAGAACAAGCCCTATGAGGAGCGGCTTAAGGAGCTGGGCATGTTTAGCCTGAAGAAGAGAAGGCTGAGAGGAGATATGATAGCCATGTATAAATATGTGAGAGGAAGCCACAGGGAGGAGGGAGCAAGCTTGTTTTCTGCTTCCTTGGAGACTAGGACAGAACAATGGCTTCAAACTACAAGAGAGGAGATTCCATCTGAACATGAGGAAGAACTTCCTGCTGTGAGAGCCGTTCAGAAGTGGAACTCTCTGCCCCGGAGTGTGGTGGAGGCTCCTTCTTTGGAAGCTTTTAAACAGAGGCTGGATGGCCATCTGTCAGGGGTGTTTGAATGCAATATTCCTGCTTCTTGGCAGGGGGTTGGACTGGATGGCCCCATGACGTCTCTTCCAACTCAATAATTCTATGATTCTATGTCCAAATGCGAACACTGATGAAGTTTGGGGAAAATTGACCTTGACATTTGGGAGTTGTAGTTCCTGGGATGTATAGTTCACCTACAATCAAGCCAACGATAGAATTGGGAATTGAACCAAACTGTGCCACAGAACTCCCATGACCAACAGAAAATATTGGAAGGGTTTGGTGGCCATTGACCTTGAGTTTGGGAGTTGTAGTTCAGCTCCATCCAGAGAGCACTGTGGACTCAAACAATGATGGATCTGGACCAAACTTGGCACGAATACTCAATATGCCCAGATGTGAACACTGGTGGAGTTTGGGGAAAATAGACTTGACATTTGGGAGTTATAGTTGCTGGGATTTATAGTTCACCTACAAACAAAGAGCATTCTGAACTCCCCAATGAAAGAATTGAACCAAACTTGGCACACAGAACTCCCATGAGGAGCAGCAGACAATACTGGAAGGGTTTGGTGGGCATTGACCTTGAGTTTTGGAGTTTTAGTTCACCTGTATCCAGAGAGCACCATGGACACAAACAATGATGGATCTGGAGCAAACTTAGCATAAATACTCAATATGTCTACATTCAAACACTGGTGGAGTTTGGGGAAAATGGACCTTGACATTTGGGAGTTATAGTTGCTGGGATTTATAGTTCACTTATAAATGCTTAGCTTCCATAATCAGATGGAAGCTTATTTGGAGTCTCGCCTTGTTCCCTGTTTTCACTTTGAGCCTTGCATTGCCTGCAAAGACTTGTGTGGCTGCTGCAACCTCCAGTTGTACAAATGCAACTTCTGGCGAGGATGGGGAGTCCTCCAGGCTCTTACGCAAGACAAACCTACTCAATCGAAGCTGGCAAAAAAGTGACAAATGTTGCATAAGGGTTAGGCGTGAGCAGTGCTGGCGGGACATCCGAGCCGCGTGGTGTTTCTGACCGCACTCTTTATTTTGGCAGACCCTGCAGTGTAAATGCTTTTGGGATGATTATTTAGAAAGCTTAGCAGGCTGATTCTTCTTGGAACAGAGCTCTTGGGGCCAACATTGCCGTTTTCACTCATTGAAAGGGAGCTGAGACAAATGGGCTTCTAAGAAACGGGATCTAAGTTTGAGATGACAGGTAGTCGTCCAAGAACATTTCTGCATTGTGTCATTATAGCACTTCAATACTACTTCAACTGTCATGGGTGCCTCTTATGGCATCCAAAGATTTATAGTTTGGTGAGGTACTTAAACTTCTCTTGTCCCCTGAAATACAATGTTGGCATTCTCTGGCATACTGTACTCACAAACTATAGATCCCAAGGTTTCATAGGATGGAGCCATGACAAAGTGGTATCACTTAGGATGGAAAAAGTGACTACTGTATAAGATATAAGTTATCCAATCAGAAGGCTGAGAAGAAATTACATTTTAAATTGAAGGAAGTTGCCTAACCAAGTTGATATAAGTTAAAACGTTCTGAAAATTATATAATATCAGTTTTATGTATTCACAAGAGTAAAAGACAGAGGTAATAAAATTCAAGTGGAACTGAAGTAAAGTACTGTGTAACAAACAGGGGTGGCTCAACCCATTACGCAAAGTAAGCATTTGCAGTATACTTGATTTCGCCCAGGGGCGCTCTTGAGGCGCTCTTGGGGGAAAATAGACCTTGACATGCGAGTTGTAGTTACTGGGATGTATAGTTCACCTACAATCAAAGAGCATTCTGAACTCCACCAATGATGGAATTGAACCAAATATGGCACACAGAACTCCCACAACGAACAGAAAATATATATTTAAATGATTGGTTGGGGGGAATAATGTTTGCTTACCTTTGAAAATTACCTAGGGCTGCTTCTGGTAACAAATACACTTTATGTGCACAAGAATTCATAAATAAACATTGCTTTGTTTCAACTACGATATTAAAGTCTTGTGTCAAGTTACAGTACTGAAGTTACATTTCTGAAAGTCAGCTGGAGATTATATTGATGTAACCTTTGAGAAGTTGGAAGCTACATATTGACTACAGTATTGGGTTATATATCAAAGAGACATATACAGACATTTAAGATTAAATCCTGTAATAACCATATAAAGAAAGGTGACACAGAGACAGAGATAACATATTTCAAGGTGTGAACCACAGTTTGCTGAGTTTCTGCAAGGTTTATTCCTCTCTCTCTCTTTATCAGCATTATTGCCTTGTGCACACGTATACATATACGTTTATTGGCAGTAGAGGGTGATATATGAGTGTTGAATGAAAAGTAATGCCTCCACCTTTGTAACTCCTCAACAGATGGCAGTACTGGTATGCGGCAGGTACTGGCTTGTTCAGTAGACTCTCCTCTACAGTTCCATTTTGGTGGGAAGCCTTAGCATTGAACGGTTGTGTTGTTAAAGTGTGAAGTATGAAACCCTGCACAGACGGTCGGTCAATGTGACTTAAGCAACGTGCAGTCATTGAATTATTGACAGCAGAAGGTGTCACCCCAGAGGGGATTCAACAGAGAATGCATGCTGTTTATGGTGATTGTGTTGATGTGAGTACTGTTCATCGTTGGGCGAGTAAGTTAAAAGATGTTGAGCTGGGAATACCTGACTTGTGTGACAAACAAAGAGTTGGACATCCTGTGGCAGCAACCACCAAGTTTCACAAGCAAAAGTTTGACAGATTGATTCAGGATGATCATCTTATCACTCAGAGAGAAGTTTCAAGCATAATTGGCAGTTCACAAGAACGTGTGGGTCACATTATTGCTTTTATTGGCTATCAGAAGATCTGTGCATGTTGAATACCCAGGATGAGAGAACTGTGAGATGCTGGTTGTGGAAACAGAGTGTTGACTTCTTCCGTGAAGGTTTCAGAAAACTTGTTCATTGTTGACAGAAATGTATCCAATTGTCTGGTGATTATGTGGAAAAGTGAATAGTGGTAGTTAAAGAGCACATTCTAAGGATTGTTTTTGCATTTGATTTATTAAAATATTCCCATACAAACCCAAGTAACGAAGGTGGAGGCATTACTTTTCATTCAACCCTCGTATATAAAAAAGAAAACGATAGAAGTTTCCCCTCCTGCCAGAAAGTGTTAGTGGCATCTCAAGCACCAACCCCAGAGTCGGACTCAACTAGACTTAATGCCAAGGTGAAACATTTACCTTTACAACTGAATCCAAACTTAGTTAGTATTATGGACCAGATCTTGCAGAATCCTCCAGTCAGCACAGGGATCCCAATGTGTCTGAATATTGGCGATTCTAAAAAATCACTTTTCCAAGTTGCACAGGTCGTGTGATTATATTGGCACTTCATAGACTTCTCAGGAAAAAAAATTACCAAATGTGATTTATTGGAATCAAGCTGGAGCTGCGTGCGTCATGTCAGGCAGAGAGGTGGAAAGAATACAGGAGGCATGATATTCAAAGCCAATCTTCCTAATTCTTCCAAGAAATGCCTGCAGTCCTATTTCTCTCCACTTTCTTAGTCTAACTCAGCTTATTTGCCTTGTGTTTGAAAGGGATTGCTTCACTGGGGAACAATAAAAACCTATCCAACATCAACCAGCTGGCCAGGAGGTGGAGATTCAGT